GTTATATAATTGTTAGTTTAATTTTCCACTCCAACAATATAATTGTTATTGTTTATGCACGAATAAAAACAATAATTAGAAGTGTTGGAATAAGTGAATATTTCAATATCAGAAAGGTTTAGCTAAACGTCTCAGTGGTGCCATCCATTGATGGAATGAATCATAAGACACTCACGTTGAGCGAACGTGATTGAAAAGAGTGGAACGCGCGTACAAACACACTTCTTGTCGGTCGTTGGCGACAAACACACCGTACGAAAAGATAAAGAAAGAGAATTTCAGTCATTGTGCTTTTGGTTGATTATATTATAAATAAAGTTATTAAGTTCAAGTGTATGAGAATAAGTGTCTCATTTATTTCCAAATAATAATAAGTAAAAAATAAAGTATAAGAAATAGCATAATTAAACAAGAAGGTTATCGCTCAGCTCGTTAAAACCTTCAAATTTGAAAATACCAAGGAGCTTATGTCAATGTTTTCGCTCCTCGGTTCGCGTTCACCGATGTTTGCGTCCATTTAGACACGTGTCATCCGGCTGATGCGTGATTTTGGTTCCCCTTCTCAGTCGGGAAAATCAGGAAGTTTCGCCGTACGTGGCGATTCTCGCTTTATTCTGTAAGGAGCTGTTGAGCGAGAACATGCTCTCAAGTAATATATAACATTTTTAAAAGTTAAACGACTCAAAGTTACTCCGCCTTCAGTATCTCCTCGCCACTGCTCCCTTGGCTCCTACCTCGCGTTCTTTCGGAGCGGTCCCGGCTATTTATTCACGTTCACATTAAATCCTTAATAAAAAAAAAAAAAAACCTTTGAATCGTGAACATAAAAGTTGGTCCTTCGAGCCGGATCGAGGTAACCCACGGTGAACGCAGTGCGATCGTCTCTCTCTCTCTCTCTCTCTCTCTGCTGGACCTCAGTAACGGACTCATCGTTTCGCCCGCACCCAAGGTGGAGACAGCCAACACGATGAGCGATCATCTCTCGCAGCAGCTAACAATGCTGCAATCTGTAGAGCGAGCGCTCTCCAACTTTAAAAAAGTTGGCAGAGCCAATTACACTGCGGCTAAGATTCGTCAACGAATGTCAACCTTGAAGGAGACCTGGACACGGTGCATCGAGAAGCACGCTATCCTGGCACGAGCGTTCACCGCCGAGCAGCAGCGGACCATGGACTACTTTTCGAACACGATCTTCGAAAATTGCGAGGAATACTACGAGACAACCCTCGACTACATGGCCGACTGCCTCGAAGAGCTGGATCCAACGCCCACCAGAACGAGCCTGTCGCAGTCCACGATAAGTACCGCTGAACCATCGTCCTTTTCATTAACTCATTTGCCGCCGATTTAACTACCGCCGTTTTCGGGAAATGTCGAGGACTGGGAGAGCTTCCGCGATCGCTTTACTTCTCTCATAATTCAAAATACCGAATTAACTGCATTTTCGCGGATGCATTTCCTAGCTTCAAGTCTCACCGGTCGTGCGTTCGACACTATAAAATCTATTCAAATCACCGCGGATAATTTTGATATCGCGTGGAAAACATTAGTTTCACGATTCGACAATAAGCGACGGCTCGTCGACGTGCACGTATCAGCGCTATACTCTCTGCCGACGGTCGCTCGCGAATCCGCTGTCGAACTTAACGCACTTCGCGACAAAGCGAATCGCGCTATCGCTTCTTTAAAAAATTTAAATCGATCACCCGATCAAATGTTGAGCGATATGTTAGTTTTTAGCGTCACGCAAAAACTTGATCACGCCACTCGGAAAGCGTGGAAGTTAAAAACCGGTGACGACCCGAACATTCCTTCGTATGAAGCTCTCGACCGATTTCTCGACACGCGCATTCGTGCATTGGAGGAAATCTCTCCGGCTAATGCTTCCAAATTCTCGCGCGCGCCAAAAGTTACCAGTGCTAACGCCACTGCCTCTGGTTTATCGTGCCCACTATGTCGGGCCGCGCATTTCATTAACAAATGTCCGCAGTTTTTGCGGAGGACTCCGAGTCAACGCCTTGAAGTCATTTTAAAAGCGAAGCGATGCGTCAATTGTTTGAGCGCAAAGCACGCTGTACAAACGTGTCCGAGTCAATACTCGTGCAGAACTTGCCAAAGCAAGCATCACTCGATGCTGCACGTTGACTCGGCTTCTTTCTCAACTGCATCCGCTGTCTCTCTAAAAAACGAAACCTCGTCGAGTGTGTCGTCAGACTCTATCGCGATCACTTCGGCCACGGCATTATGCTCCCAGCTAACAGGCGTCGCGCTCCCGCAAGTGTTACTCGCGACGGCCCGCGTCACCGTCAGTGCACCGTCGGGTCGGACTCTCACCGTGCGAGCGCTTCTCGATCAAGGCTCGGAGATCACCTTCATCACGGAGCGTCTCGCACAAACTCTCAGAATGCGTCGCATTCGCCAACCACTCTCGATTTCCGCCGTCGGCGGAATGAACGCCGGAACTTGTCAATTCGCCGCTAAGATTCGGATCGCTCCGATCAATCAAGCTGCTCCCGTGTTCACGACAACCGCATCGATTCTCAAATCTCTCACAAAATATTCGCCTTACAAAGCAAATTCTAGCTATGATTGGAGCTATATAAGCGATCTCAATCTGGCCGATCCGAATCCAACAAGCGCTGACCCGATCGAAATCCTTATCAGAGCAGACTTATATGGCGAGTTGCTGCTTAGCGGCGTTCGTAAAGGCGCCCCTGGGCAGCCAATTGCGCAGCAAACCATTTTCGGCTGGGTTTTGTCGGGGCCCATTTCCGAGCTGTCGACGCAATCGCGAGCGATCACCGTTCAGCATTGCGCGAATTCGGAGGCTCTAGATCAGGAGCTCAGACGATTCTGGGAAATCGAAGAAACTCCTCAACAGGCTCTCCTCAGCCCTGAAGAGCAGCAATGTGAGGAGCATTTCACAGCCACGCATTCGCGCAGTGCTGACGGCCGATACACAGTGCGCCTTCCGTTTAAGCGCGGTCCGCCGATCGACATCGGCGATTCGCGCCACACGGCGGAACGCTTCTTGCGAGGCTTACATCGTCGCTTCCTTCTACATTCCGACCTTCGTGCGGCATACGCCGAATTTATGCACGACTACGAATCATTAGGACATATGAACGAAGTGAAGAGCGATCAAGTCGCCTCGCAGGAAGTGTATCTCCCTCATCATCCTGTCATTCGCGACAGTAGCGTCACGACAAGATTGCGAGTCGTATTCAACGCGTCGAGTCTGACGACCAATTCAACGTCGTTGAATAATCACTTGCTCACCGGGCCAAAGTTACAAGCGGACTTATCGGCGGTCATTCTGCGCTGGCGACAGTTCCGCTACGTTTACGCTGCCGATATAACGAAAATGTATCGCCAAATAGTTATGGACCCGCGTGACATCGATTACCAGCGAATTCTGTGGAGCGGCGCTCCTTCAGAACCCGCTCGAGCTTATCAGCTCACTACTGTAACATACGGCACAGCCTGTGCGCCATTTTTAGCGCTACGCGTCATTCGTCAGCTCGCTCAAGATGAGGGTAGTTCTTTCCCACTCGCTGCTATTGTGCAGCAAAATACTTATGTCAATGACGTTCTCTTCGGGGCGGACGACATACCTCTCCTTCGTCAAGTTCGCGAGCAGGTATGCGCGTTGCTTCGTCGAGGCCGATTCGAGCTGAGAAAATGGGCGAGCAACTCTTCCCAACTCCTCAGCGATATTGCTAGCGCAGATCACGGCCTCGTTTGCGATAAGATGCTTCAAACAGATAACCATCTTAAAATTCTCGGCATCAGGTGGAATCCGTCCTCTGACGCCTTTCAATTTAACGTCACGCTTCCGCATTCCGAGCAGACTACCAAACGGTTGATCCTTTCAACTATCGCGAGATTGTTCGATCCGTTGAGGTGGAGTACTCCGGTTACTGTTATCGCGAAGATTTTCCTTCAGAAAAAGGATGGCTGCTCAAAATCGGATGGGACAACGTGCTTTCCGCTGACATTCTCGATCGCTGGGACACCATTCGCTCATCCCTCGCCGCTCTGCACGGTCTTCAATTGGATCGCTGGATCCAACGCGGTGCAGATAGCGTCAGATGCGACTTACACGGTTTCGCAGACGCATCTTTGCACGCTTACGCTGCCGCTGTGTATATTCGAATAGTTTCGTTATCCAGTGAAATAACAGTACGATTGTTAATCGGAAAATCAAAAATCGCGCCGATAAAAACATTAAGTATTCCACAGCTGGAACTCGCCGCTGCCGTGTTACTCGCAAAACTAATCGATTTTGTCAGATCATCCCTGCATCTCCCTGCAGATTCTTGCCACTGTTGGACCGATTCCACGGTAGTTCTCGCGTGGGTGGCGCAACATCCATTAAAGTGGAAGACGTTCGTCGCGAATCGCGTCTCTGAAATACAATCTAGACTCCCAAACGCGCAATGGAGACACGTCCCCACTGATCACAATCCCGCGGATTGCGCGTCACGCGGTATACCCGGTGAGAATTTTGCGTCTCACACGCTCTGGTGGCGGGGACCTGCATGGTTACATTGTTTTGAATCCGAATGGCCGGCGCCATTCGATTCGTCTCTTTCGATGACCACGATGGAGCGAAAAGAAAACGCGGCGTCTCATCTCGTGTCGCGACGGAAACCATGGGACCTTGCCGCACGGTACTCGTCGTGGCCGCGTTTAATTCGTATCACCGCCTACATCATGAGATTCATCTCAAAGCTTAAAAGACACTCGGTGCCGCGCGACACATGCGACGAAGGCTCCCGGTCAATTTCCGCGCTTGAATGTAGAAAAGCACGAAACTTTTGGTTGTCGCAAATTCAATCAGAATTATTCGCGCGGAAAAAGGAATCTTTGTTGCAGCAACGTTTGATTCCAGCGAAGAGTGCATTGTTGTCTTTAACGCCGTTTCTCGGCGAAAACAAACTAATCCGCGTTGGCGGGCGGTTGTCGCGTGCCCCCATGCGGTTCTCCGAAAAACATCCTATAATCTTAGCTGCACATCCTCTTGTGAACCTCCTCGTGCAGCACGTGCATTTAAGATCTTTTCACGCGGGGCCTCAATTAACTCTAGCTACTCTTCGTCGAGAGTACTGGATATTGCGCGCTCGAAATATCGTCAAAGGTGTCGTTTTCCGCTGCGTAGTATGCACGCGTGAAAAGGCAGCTACCCCCACTCAATTGATGGGAAACTTGCCTTCGGTGCGCGTTTCTCCTCCTGCGCGCGCGTTTATTCATTGTGGTTTCGATTATGCTGGTCCCGTCTTAATCAAATCAATGTCGGGACGCGGTGTCGCTTCCCGCAAAGCCTACATCTCCATCTTCGTCTGTATGGCCACGCGAGCCATACATTTAGAATTAGTCGAGAGTTACTCCACTCCAGCCTTCTTAGGCGCCTTTTCAAGATTCTGCTCCCGACGTGGCCTGCCTGAGTCAGTCTACTCTGATAATGGAACCACGTTTGTAGGCGCCGATCGCGAATTGGCTGCATCATTTCGAGCCGCGCTGCGCAATCCAAACTTTCAAAATAGTGCCGCTTCCGACGGGGTGTCATGGCATTTTATGCCTCCATCCGCGCCTCACTTCGGCGGACTATGGGAGGCCGGGGTTCGCAGTGTCAAGTATCACCTTCGCAGAATCGTCGGTTCGCACACTCTTACGTTCGAAGAGTTCACAACGATTCTCTGCAACATTGAGGCCTGCCTTAACTCGCGCCCTATCGCGCCTCTCACCGATTCCGTCGACGATTGCGATTCTCTGACGCCCGGTCATTTCTTGATCGGGTCCGCGATTACGATCGCGCCTGAACCCTCTGTACTGCATCTAGTTGAGAACCGCTTGACGCGCTGGCAACTTGTTCGCCAGCTCACAGAACGCTTCTAGAAAATCTGGCAGCAGGACTACGTCAATACCTTGCAACAGCGCGTCAAATGGAAGCAAGTTTTGAAAAACGGAATTCGCGTCGGGTCGCTGGTCCTGTTATGCAATTCTCTCCTTCCGTCTTGTAAATGGGACTTAGCTCGCGTCATCCGATGTCACCCGGGTCCAGACGGTTTGATTCGCGTCGCGACGGTGAAAACCGCGACTTCCGAATATACTCGGCCTATTGTCAAATTATGCTTACTTCCGATAGATGTCGAAAGCCTGGACAACCTTACGTAATTAAGTTCAGACTCCAGATATTGCTTCTAACTCATTCTGTAAATCGACATACCGAACGCTTCACCAGTCGCCTTTTTTTTGTTCAATTTATTTCGAAACGATGGTTTCGAGGCGGGCGGTATGTTTAGGCACGAATAAAAACAATAATTAGAAGGTTATCGCTCAGCTCGTTAAACCTTCAAATTTGAACATACCAAGGAGCTTATGTCAATGTTTTCGCTCCTCGGTTCGCGTTCACCGATGTTTGCGTCCATTTAGACACGTGTCATCCGGCTGATGCGTGATTTTGGTTCCCCTTCTCAGTCGGGAAAATCAGGAAGTTTCGCCGTACGTGGCGATTCTCGCTTTATTCTGTAAGGAGCTGTTGAGCGAGAACATGCTCTCAAGTAATATATAACATTTTCAAAAGTTAAACGACTCAAAGTTACTCCGTCTTCAGTATCTCCTCGCCACTGCTCCCTTGGCTCCTACCTCGCGCTCTTTCGGAGCGGTCCCGGCTATTCATTCACGTTCACATTAAATCCTTAATAAAAAAAAAAAAAAAAAACCTTCGAATCGTGAACAGTTATAATACACGTATTATATTTTTGAATGGGAAATTACAACTAACAATTATATAGCTGTAACTTGGTGTTTGCTGGGTATATGTATATATATTACAATATATAAATTATAGAATTTGGATTACATGCAATATTTCCGAAATATTAATGTCATGTTGCTACATGTGTGCTGGAATTTTGTGCACCTATATCTCTGCAATGTCTTTATAATGTTGCATTGCAACCTGCAACATTGCAACGTTGCTGCAATATAATTGCAATAATCTGTGCTGTATGGGTACACATTACATTACATTATACATTAATATTCGAGAATTATTGTGAGATTGTTATGCTTACCTGTTATGATAGATTTTAAATATCGTTCTCGTTCTTTAAGTTTGTTAGTTTCTGTTTCGTATTGCGACAATGTTAATATTGCTTCGATCATTTCTCTCGCCTCCGTTTCCTCTTTGCAATTGCAGAGAGCACCAATACATGAAGCATAAAGTGTTTTTAATATTTTTGTACAACTTTTCAATAAGCGAGTATACTTTTTTATAAAGTGCGCTCTGTCAATACGTATACAACAATGAGGAATATTATTTTTACATTTGTTTCCATAATCGTAAATATTAAAACATCCATTAAATGTTCTTGCTGCCGCATGAAGAAATGCGAAAGAATAGTCTACGCATATCTGTTTAGGTATTTTTAGTGATAATTATTCATTGAGCCAATGCTGTATGCTTGCAACCGAATGTTGTTCTGTTATCATTTGTGCAATAAAAAATTGTTCTTCTTCGACATTTATAACAATTAAATAAAATAAAATATAGGCCGTTTTTTGCCATCGCACATCATAATTTCTTTAAATCGTGCTCCAGTTGCATCAATATAAATTTCCAGATTGTTCTTATATTTGGAAAAAAGTTTTTTATAAATCTGTACTTGCAGGTTTACTTAGTTATATTATTCACAAATAGACTTATATAATAAATAAAATATATACATTTTTTATACTTATTTCGCGAGCAAAAATCAAAACCCGGATATCTCGAAAGCAAATAATTCGGGAAACATTCTGACGCCATTATTATGCGAGCAACTAATTACTTTAAGGCACTTTACTCTTGTAACTTGGACCACGCGGATCGTTTTTAGCCGGTTTTCTACACTTATTTCGCGAGCAAAAAATTCGAAAACCTAATATCTTAAGAGCGAATAATTCGAGAAACATTTTTATGCCATAATTATGCGAGCAATTAATTACTTTAAGGCACTTTATTCTTGAACGTCCTATTTTATTCTTGATTATTTTTAAAAGTTGGAGCAAAAAAATTATTTTCTAAAGTAAAAAATAGCAAAAAAATAGCAAAAAATTTTACTATTATTAATCTTTTGCTTTTATTTATGTAAATGCTATTTTTTACAATGGCTAAGATAGCTTATAGCGTTTTTCACTGGGAGAACTAGTGCGCACTGAGTGCGCACTCGTCATGGGCAACGTGTTTCACTGGGCATTTCGGTGCGCATGAAAACGGTGCGTGCTGTTTCACTGGAAAGTCTAGTGCCGAGTTTTCGCACTTTAGTGCAAGAATTCGGCACGAGCTCTGAGAGACGGTGCCAGTTTAGTGCAATCAATTTGGCTGCGTGGGATGCACGATTAATGTTTGAACTGTTAGATTTGCTTTCTTCATCATCATCTAGCAGTGATAAAGATGATTTTTTACAACAAGAATATCCGCGAAAAATTCCAAAGATTGCAAACTTTCTTCAGGTAGTGCATAACCTTACGGATAAGGATGTAAGTATACATATATGTATATTTTATTATCTTCATAGATTATAATTTGTATTATTATTGTATTATTATGTAAAACAATAATGTGTTTTGTATAAATTAGTATCAATATTACAAATAATTATATTATTATAGTTTAAAAGTCATTTTTGCGTTACACGAACAACAGCCTACAAGATAATAGAGATGTATGCACTTTCCGGATTCTATCCATCTGATCGGAGCAACGGAGGTAGCGAACCTACTACTCCAGAATTGGATATTTTGTCATTTTTGTGGTAAGTTGGTAATTATTTGTATTGTGTACTGACCTATCATTTATTTCTGCGTGAATAATAATTGAACATTTTATATATTATAGGTTTGCTGGAAATAAAGTCTGCCTCAGAGATGTGTCACAGAGATTTGGAGTATGTCATGCAACAACTTTTAGGCAAAACGATAGAATGATTAATTTTTTAATTGACATGGCTCCAAAAATTATAAAATTTGAGAACAACGAACTCTTTGCAAGCGAGTTTTTACAAGTATGTTATTTGGAAATTAAGCGTGGTCTACAATACGTATTGTAAGCTTGGTGTAAGGAGTAAGAATATTTTCAAGGAGGTTATTTTCGGTTAAAAAAAGCTGGATCTTATTTTATTTCGCTTACGCCGTTAATTCAGCTTGTTTAAACCGAAAATAGTCTTCTTACTTCTACTTTTACTCCTTACGCCAGCCTTACTCCACGTATTGTAGACCACGCTTTATTGATAGGGTAATATGTTTATGTTTACACACACACAGGTATAAAGATATATATATATGTGTGTGTGTGTGTATGTGTGTGTGTGTGTGTGTGTGTGTGTGTGTGTGTGTGTGTGTGTGTGTGTGTATATAGCATGTATGTCGATAATTATTAATGCTAATTTAACAATTAGGCGATTAAAGTGTATATAAATTAAAATTATATATAAAGATATATAAATTTTTAGATTGCTGGTTTTCCTAATGTGATTGGTTGTGTCGATGGGACGTCTATTAAAGTTCGAACACCAGCACATAAAATAAAATCCATTTACGTAAATAGACACGATATTCCTGCAATCACATTACAAGGTATATGTGATGCTCGAAAAAAATTTATTGATGTCCTCACTGGGATTCCAGAAAAGATCCATGATTCGAAAGTTTTGAAGTTATCGGACATCAATGATAATTTACAAAGAATTTGTGAAGGAAAATTTCATATATTGGGAGATGCGGCATACCCTATAAGGGAATGGCTAATGATTCCCTATAGGGATTATGGAAATCTGTCCAATAAACAGAAAAAATATAATAAGAAATTTCGTTCAACGCGAGTACTGATCGAGAATGCATTTGGCCTTTTAAAAGGTCGTTTTCGGCAACTTACTGAATTAGATTTTCATAGCATTGATAAGATATCTAAATTCATAATTTCTTGTTGCGTCTTGCACAACTTATGCATTGACAACGATGATAACTTTACTTTTGATTTTGATGTTAATATTGTATTAGACAATGATGAAGAATCTCATCATGAAGGTGGTGGAGAGCAAGAAGCTCTACTGCGTAGATTAGGAAAAATGAAAAGAGATCAATTAGTAAATGTACTTTTTCCATGAAATAAATAACTCGATATAACAATTAAATTACATATAAACAATTATACGTTAAAAAATGTAATCTTTACAATAATACGCTAGTATATATCACAGTATAACGAATCATTTCGTTTAAACTAAAAAACAAATATATAAGCATATTACTTTAAACTAAAAAACAAATATATAAGCATATTACTTGCGATCTTTTCGATCATAAATAAACTTAATAAGTAACAGTAGTTATATATATAGTTAACAGCTTTATATTATATTGCTATTTTGGTTTTTTTCTTTGGCAACAATTTGTTACTTTTTTATTACTGTGTATTCTCTTTGGCGGACAACTTTCGAATTAGGTCCAATTTCTCCTTATGTCGCCTTTCCTTTGCAGCTTCTTTTTTTTAAATAATTCTACCCTTATCTCTTCATTAGTCCGTTTAGATTTTTTTGCCTTCGGCGAGCCATTGATAGCATGCTTTGCGAAATCAGTCATGCAGATTTTTTCAGAAATTTCAGGTGTATTATTTAATTTTGGATATTTCACACTTTTAGCACTTCGTAATACCTCCGGTTCAATGCTGTCATCTGAATGTGCAATCTTCCGCAATTCTTCTTCAAAAGGTACCTCTTCTCTAGAACTACCTGATTTACAATTATTCTCCACTGCTTTTTTCTTTCTTTTCAAAAGTGTTTTGAATCGATTCTCAATTTGTAATGAAGTTTTAGAAATGTTTAACATTTTCATCATATCTGCAAATATTTGTG